GCCATTATGGTCTCAAGGTGCATCCATTTTCTTATAAATGATTCAAATTTAGTGTCCCTGGGTTTAGACTGCAGCTATCACATGATGTCAGATGTGGAATTTCCCACATATGGCATCATTGATGCCAAATTGCAGATTTTAGGACATTTCAAATTGCAGATTTTTGGGTTAGGGATGCTCGACCTGTATGTTATACCCACACCCACTGGCTTGTCTTAAGCACCCCGTTTTGGCTAGCACAGTCATGGGGAAGCCAAGTGGATTGCCTCTCCCCTTCTCGGCTTCCTGCATGCCTAAACCCCAGGGTTGGCAAGTCAAGGTTGCTGTGTCTGTGTCTTTACACCAAGGCCATTTCATTGTTTGTTAGCACTCTTCAGTTAAAAATTTTCATTCCAGCCCACTAGAAAGAGGCTGGTATTCTCTTTTAGGGTGTCTTAGTTACTTTTCTCTTCACTGAGACAAAATGCCCAACACTCACAAGTTAAGGGAGGAAAAGTTTATTTAGCTGACAGTTTGTAGAGGTCAGTCCATAATCAGCTGGCTCCAAAGCAGGGTGGCACATGGCAGAAGGGCAACAGTTCAGGCAGAGCAAAGGTAGCAAAGCAACGAGGGGCAAGGGAGGGCAGCACTCACATCCTCAGTCCTAGTGCCCTCAGGCTTAGCATTGCACAGTGAATCAATCACACACTCTAGATTCAGCCACCTCGGGGAAAAGCCCCACCTATGACCACATGAGGTTTTAGGGGAATATCCAGAACAAGCCATAGCACTCCACCCCAGCCCCCCACAGACTCATGCATATCCCTTTATGCAAAAGGCATTTAGTTCATCTCCAAGAGTTGCCAAAGTTCTAGCAATTTCAACATTGCTGAAAAGTCCAAGTCCCAAGTCTCCTGTAAGATTTGAAGCAAACTCTTAGCTGCAGGCCCCTGTACAAATGAAAAGAAAGTTAAACACTTCCAACATACAATGGCACAAGACAGACATTTCCATTCCAAATGTTATAGACAGGAGGATACAAAGGAATGGGAACAAGGCAAGTCCAAAATCTAGCAGGACAAACATTAAATCCCACAGTTCCGCTTCAGCATCCCTGGCAATCTGTGGCAAGTTGTGAGTTCCAAAGGGCTTGGGTGGCTCCTCCTCTATGGTACTGCCTGTGGTTGTAGCTCCCATGGCTTCTCTCTTGAGCCAGCTGTGCTTCCTCCTTGCAGTTTTCCTCAGATGATCCATGCTCCTGGCTTCTCCAAACTTCTGGGATCTGCACTACACATTCGACTTCGTACTCACAGCTTCACACACTGCCCTCTCAGGGCACACTGCCTGGGCTCCCAGGCCTTCTGCTGAAATCTGGGTGGAAGCCTTCCTAACCCCACAACTCTTGCATTCTGCATGCACCTGAAACCAGTGCCGCATGGATGATGGCAGGGTCTGCCACCAGCTAAAACAGTAGCCAGACTTCCTTCTCTCGGCTCCAGGGATCCAGTGCCTATGAACCAAATCCTGAGCAACAGCTTCCCTAGGCTGCCACCATTCTGGAGTATGGTGCCCTGGGGCTCTCGTCTCAAAGCATAATCTTTAACCTTTGCAACTCTGAGGCTGCAGAAGCTGGAGTACTGTTGGTTCTTTTTTTTTTCTTTTCTTTTGGTATTGGGGATCGAACTTGGGTCTTTGCAAGTGAAACCACTGAGCTAAATCGCTTTTGGTTCTTGTGATGTCCTCAGGCCATCTTTTCTGTTGTCTTCTTCTGAAATACTTGGCTTTTTCTTGCTAGTCTTTTTAGTGACCTATATCGCCTGTGTTCCATCTTTGCAGGCCTCAGCTTTACTGGAGCTTTCTTTCTGGCCAACCTCAAAACATTTTAAATCATTCTTCCGGGTGCTTTGCTCTTGATTCTTAACATAAATCTGGCTAAAAGTCCTCAACAGTAGCCATGCCACCACCTCAACATTAGACTGCCTTGAAATTTCTTCTGCCGGATTAATTGGTCCACTGCCCTTAGTCTCAGCCAAAGTCTCTGGACAGGAAAAAAATGCAGACAAACTTTCTGCCAAGGCATAACATACATCGTCAGGAGTCCAACAGCCAATGCAGTCCTTCTTTCCAGCAGAAACCTCCTGAGCCTGGTCTTTACTGGCACAATTTCTATCAGCCTTCTGGTCCTCTGAGCTCTGAGGTGAATCTCCCATTAAGTACAGCCTCAGGCATTCCAGCTATAGTTTTTCAGCCAGTGTCTCCAAACCTTTCCTAACTCCTCCCCTTCCCACAAGCCAGCTCCAAAGGCTCCTAAACCACAGGTGCAGTCACAGCAGTGACCCCACTTCTCTGGTACCAAATTTTGTCTTAGTTACTTTTCTCATTACTGAGACAAAATACCCAAGACCCACAAGTTAAGAGAGAAAAGGTTTATTTGGCTCACAGTTTGTAGACGTTTCAGTCCATAGTCAGCTGGCTGCAAGGCAGAGTGGCACGGCAGCCAGGCATCACAGAGGAGAAACAGTTCAGGGTGGACAGAAGATAGCAAAGCAATAAGGGCTGTCCACAGCTCTTTCTGTCCCTTATATCTTACCCAGGCTACTTAGGGCAGGTAGCACTCACATCCTTAATCCTAGTGCCCTTGAGCCTAGCACTGCACCATGAGTCAATCCCAGTGTCACACACTGTAGATCCAGCCACCTCTGAAAAAGTCCCACCTATGACTGCAGGAGGCTTTGGGGACATCTAAAGACAAGCCCTAACCGAAGGATAGGGACAGGTGCTAGATGAAGGCAGGTGGGGTCACCCGGGGTGGCAGTGTGGGAAAGCCGTAGGAGCTGCAGAGCCAGTGTCCAGGTCCCCACCCTGGAAGACCTCAGGGCCAGGCCTCATCTGCAGCCAGAGCCTTGCGGAAGAGCAACCTTCACAGCTGTGTGGGAGCCTTCTGGTCCCTGCACGGGCAGGGGTAGGACGTGTGCATGAGGAGAGTGTGGTTAAAAGCTGTGAGAATACAGGGGAGATTTAGAGGACAACTGTGTGCAGATTTGGCCCAGGATTCTGTTCCTTCCTTTTCAGTAAATCATCTTGCAGCTTTAAAGATAGTTTGCTGCTGTAGGAATGCAGTTTGGACTGATTGTGCCCACAGTCTCTGGGCGTTTACCCATGTCAGGCAGTCTCAAGTGCCCTTCATGCCTTAAATCTCCTGCAGTACTCCTGGCTACCCATGGAGGAAGGTGCTACTGTTAACCTCATTTACAAGTGAGGTAAAGCACAGTCAGGATTCGAACCCAAGGACCTCACCTCTGGATTCGTGCCCTTTGCCCCAAGACTACAGGATCTGTTTCTTTCCTGTCTGCTTTCTGGTACTATTGAGAATAAGACCCTTGTGAGGGCCAGGACCTGATAGGCCTAGCTGAGAGATGGCAGAATGGGATTGGGCCCTGGTCTGCTCATTGCCAAAGCTCTGGCCTTAGCCTGTCCTCCATCCCTGAATCTTGAGAGACTCAGGCCTCCTGGAGATAAAGAAGCTAAGGTGAAAGGATTTTCCCTGAATTATAAACTGGTAATAGAGATAGAACTAGAAGGCATCCCAGAGGGGTACTTGGTTGGATTATAAGATGCAAAACAGCACACGAAACCTGGTGGTCTCCTTAAGTCCTAGCCTAATTGTGGGCAGATCCAGGGGCAGAGCATTCAAGTCTCACAGAGTGAGGGTCCCTGGTGGAGGCTCAAGTACTGCAGGGGCATGCAGGGAGGGGCTGGGGATGAAGTTCCGGAATGAAAGCGCAGCCCCTTTGCAGAGTGAAGGGTTAGAGGCCTAGAAGCCACTGATCCTTGAGGTGCTGAAGAGATCACTGGACTAAACTAGTTTGTCAAGGTGGGGCAAGGATTGGTAAAGAGTTTCGGGCCTGGATCAGACTTGCCTTCCAGCCCAGATGGGCTTTGGCTACCAAGCCAAAGGTTACAGGTAGGAGGGCAAGGAGGCCTGTAGGAAGTTGTTAAGTCAGAGACGCTGGTGGCTTGGAGGGCATTCCCATGAGTTAAGGTCAGCATCGCTCGCTGTCCAGATCACCAAGGGCAGACCCTTGCCCCTCTACTTTAGGACTTCATAGAGGTGGCTATTAAGGCGTTTCATTTCAGGACCCGTGAAAAGAGCAACATCCTTCCTCAGCATCTCTTCCCTTGCAGCAGGCTGGCATGCCAGTGACAGCGCTCAGGCTGCACCGGTACCATCTGTGTGTTCTTCAGCTCTGCTCCAGGCCAGCTCGGGCTGGGTGGGAGCTGAGGACAACCATGCAGTAAATGGAAGTGAGGACCATGCTTGGGTGCACATTTCTTCTGCCCCTCACTTCTCTCTGACTGACAAAGGTGCCCTGTGCTATACCTGAAGTGGCCAGGTTTGGCGAGTGTTCTGATCCGGCTCGAGAGAGGTCCCGTGAGGCATATCCTGGGCCAAATACCAAGTGAACCAGGTGTGACATCTTGAACATGTTGTCGCTGGCTTGAACCACCGGTGGTATGTGTATGACTGTCCATCGGGTGGCTTGTACAGCTCGTGGGACAAGTGGGACAGTCATGGTTGGAACAGTCGTTCGCGTACCACTGATGTCCAAGCCTCCCGGCAGTGAGACGTAGGGATAAAGACTTTGATTGCCACAGTCCCAGGTGTACCCAAGAGAGAAACTGGGCGGAAGACGCCAGAGGTGACTGTTTTAGAGAAGAATAGCATCTGGTATCCTCCAGAGCCCTAGGAGGATGGGTGGGAGCCTCAGGGGATTCCAGTCGGGGAATGGCAGAACTTCCTGCTTGCATGGATAGACCAAGGGCATTTGAAAAATCACCTGAAACATCAGTTTTGCAGAATGTCACCTGTTTTGTGAAAACTGGAATCTGGTAACATGAGAATTGTTCCTGCTATAAAATCAAAGCAATGAAGGTTCCTTTTCACCCACTCCTACCCTTGCTGGCCCATGATTCTCACCATTAAATGTTGGGTTTTGTTTTCCCCCTGCAAATGTGTTTAGGGTGAAGAAGCTGAAGGAGACCTTCGCTTTCATCCAGCAGTTAGACAGAAACATGAGCAATCTTCGCACCTGGTTGGCGCGAATCGAGTCGGAGCTGTCTAAGCCGGTTGTTTATGATGTCTGTGATGATCAGGAGATCCAGAAGAGGCTCGCTGAGCAGCAGGTAGGGCGACTGGAAGTGAGCTGTTAAGAGGTGTACAAGACCTGCCCATTTCTGCTATTTGCTTCAGCGTGTTTATATCCGTTTGTTTCTCCCAAGACTACATTACCTGTCAGCTATTTGTTGATGCTTTTTGTTGTTTGTTTGTTGTTTGGTTTTTGGCAATACTGGGAATTGAACCCAGAGCCTTTGCACTGAGCTATATCCCCTCCCCTTTTTCTTTTGAGACAGGGTCTCTCTGAGTTGTCCAGGCTGAGTTTGAACTTGCAGTTCTCCCACCTCAGCCTTCCAGAATGCTGGGGTTACAGGCGTGCGCCACTATGACCAGCACCTCGCTGTGTTCTTGTGTGTGTGAGGCAACATTCACCTAGCTCTTTGTGTGATAGGTTGAATGTTTAAGATGCAGGTCCTAATCATGGTAGTAAATAGAGTTTTAAATTGTCTTTTTTATAAATTTTGATCTTTTGTTGTGTTTTGTTAATATAGTTTTAGCAGGGCAATAAAATGAAAAATAACTTTTCTACCGAGTGTGATTATGCTCCTTATGTCTGCTAGAGCTTCAGAAAAAATTAGTAATAAGTTGGTCACAGGGGTGCATGCTTGTAGTCCCAGATTCTTGGGATCACTTGACCCAGGAGTTCAACCCAGAGACTGGGCTTTCAAGCTAGTATGATTTAGTATAGCTATAAATTAAAATACTGCTGGGCCGGGGATTTAGCTCAGTGGCTCCAGCGCCTGCCTCACAAGCGCAAGGTCCCGAGTTCGATCCCCGGTACCAAAAAAAAATAAAAATAAAATAAAATACTGGTTTTTCCACTTACCTTCAAAGTCTGAGTGTGTCCTTTTTATCCAGAGGTCATCTAGATTCTGTCTTTGCTTTGTGGAGAAAAGATTACTGATATAAGTACTGTAACATTTCAGTGGACATAACAGGGATTTCAGTGCCCTTCTCCATGGAGTCAGGGCTACAAGTTTGACCCACTAGAGTGAATTTCTCTAAACAGTCTTGTAGCAGACAAAGCTTTGCAAACTGTTAACTCTGAGTGGTGAGTTTTGTTTTTCTTGTAAATGGTATAGAAGCTGTGTGATACCTTTGCTCTTAGTGGTTGGCTAACTTTGGTAGAGGCTAAAAATTGTTTTTATAAATCTGCACTATGACAAAACATTAAATTGCAGAGTATTTCCAAATGCATATAATTTGGCCTTTCTCTTGTTCGCCTTTCTTTTTTTAATGTAAGGTTTTTATTGTAGCATAACCACACAAAAAGGTTCACGTAATGAATTTTATAAATACAGCCAGGTACTTAGCAGCTAGGCAGGAAACAGAACAGCACGAGCTCCCCAGAACCCCTCGGACATGTCCCTATCCCCCAGGAATGGCCGCTGTCCTGACATCTTGCCGTAGTCTCAGCACTTGACCTTGCGCATTGATCCCTTCATGTTGCTGCGCATGGCTGTCCAGGATTCACCCTCGCTGCTGTGTGGAATGCATCAGAGTTTTGAGGGCAAGGTGGTCTACAGAATCTCCCTTCTCAGTAAATCCGGAGTACGAGGAGGTTACTTGTGTGTGTTTGAATGGAAAGGAGCCCTGCCGTTCACTAGGGCCCTTCCCTGCTCATCGCGGAGGGGCACATTCCCTCCTCCTTGCTCTCCTCCTTCAAAGGATGATGGCCTTCGTCTCCAGCCAGCTGTGGTTCAGAAGCAGAGGAGCAAGAAGAGCCCAAGTCTTGCCTGCAAGGCCTGGAGCCTGGCCTCGGGGGAGCCCTGCATGTCTGTGCACCAAGGGCTTCCCCACACACCCTCAGAGCTGCAGAGTCGGGGTCTCATGGCCTTCCTCGCTCCCATAATGAAATGGTACATTATTTCAGTCCATTGGATTTGAGGTGCCCTCTTTGAACAAGGTATGATAAGAAAATATGGTGAAAGTTTAATTTTTTTAAAAAATTGTTTTTACAATAAAAGACACATTGCCATTAATCTCCCTCAGAATACTCCCCTTCACTTCAAACACTTATCCTGTTATTCTTGTCACTTTTTGAAGTGGTTCAGGAAGTCTTTTGTGAATGTCTTTAATTGCTCTGTTGGGGTTGTCTTGGTGTCCTGAATCGATTCAAAATGTTTTCCCTTTGTGGTCATTTTGACTTTGAGGAAGAGCCAGAAGTGCCAGGTCCGGTGAATAAAGTGGGTAAGGACACACTTGGTATTTTTGTGAGTCTGCCTTTCTGTTGGATGGCACTCAACAGCAGCACGAACCATTTTTTTTAATCACACCTTGTAAAGATATTCATGAAAGTGGACTTACAGATCTGCTTCAAAAAGTGGCGAGAAAAATGAAACAAGTGTGTTTAAAGCAAAGGCTAGTATGTGAGGATGAAAGGCAGTGTGTCTTACTGTAATAAATTTTAACAGTTTGAACACCCACCATATATTTAGATCATACATCATTCAAATTACCATAATAGGATTCTTTTTTCTTTTATGAAAAAATAAAATAAGAGAATAACAATAGTTAGTACACTGTGTGTCATTATCTTCAAAGTAGTTACTTAGTACAAGACATTGCCCAAAAAGATTCTTACAAAGAAACAAATATCAGGGGCTGGGGATTTAGCTCAGTGGTTCCGACACCTTCCTCGAAAGCAGAAGGACCTGAGTTCAATCCCCGGTACCAAAAAAAAAGAAACAAATATTAGCATAAAACTTTCTTTTCAATGAATGAAGAGAAATTAGCTGTTCCAAAAATATTTTAATGTATATACTAATTTGTTTTGGAATAGAATTCTTATACCTTTTGGTTACAAAAAAGTTATGGAATTCGTATTCAGAACTCCCATCACTGTAAAGAAGTTAGATGTTCTGGTTTATATCATGATGTCCCCTCAAAGCCTCGGGCGCTCATAGGTGGGGCTTTCGGGAGGTGCAGGATCAGCAAGTGTGATGCTCATCACTGGATTCGTCCACTGATGGGTTTTTAGTAAACGGGATGTTGGGAGGTGAAGCCTGGTGCAAGGAGGGCAGTCACTGTGGTGTCAATTTGAATAAGAAATGCCCAGCTGATTGGTTTACCAATCAGTTTACCAATCAGTTCTGGGTGTTCTGAATGATGAACTCAAGAGGGAAGGCCCACCCTGCGTGTGGGTGGCACCAACCAATAGGCTTGTAGCCTGGATGGAATAAAAAGGGAAACAAGAAGGGAGTCTCACTTTTATTTCTTTGGAAGAGCTCCAGTATGCACCATCACTTTTGGGCATCCATCTCCAGCCTTGCCACACAGACCCTTTGACTTCCTGATAGGAATTCACGTGGGACTCGGCAGTGAGCTCCAGGCCTTTGACTTTTAACTGGATCCTTCCGATCTCCATTGTACAGACAGTGTATGTTGGTGGTATAGTGGTGAGCACAGCTGCCTTCCAGTGTATGGAGAGTCCTTTTGCATTCTTCTTCACATGACTCAGCAGGCAGCCATTGTAAGCCAATCTTTAAGCCTATCTTTTAAATATTATTTAAATCTGTTCTTCTAGTGAACACTGAGTGATACAGATTTTGGTTCCAGAGGAGTAGGGTCATTGTTGTGACTGTACCTGACCATGTGGTTCTGAAGCTTTTGGAACTGGCTTATGGGAGGACTTTGGACAGGCTTGGAGTTACCACCTGGAGCCTCAGCCATAGAATGCTGTGAGCTGAGCTTGATAAGAAATTCTGGTCAGAGTTCAAAAGACCAGAATGCTGATAGAAATGCAGCTGGTGAAGACCAGGCTGAGGAGGTTTCTGCTGGGAAGAAGGACTGCATTAGCTGTTGGACTCCAGGCCATGTGTGTTATGCTTTGGCAGAAAATTTGTCTGCATTTTGCTCATGTTCAGAGACATTGTGGAAGACTGAGATTAAGGGCCGTAGACTAATCTGGTAGAAGAAATACCAAGACAGTCTAATGTTGAGGCGGTAGCATAGTGACTATTAGGGGCTTTTAGCGAGCTCAACCTTGAGAATCAAGCAAATAGCCCAGCAGAATGATTTTGAAAAGTTTCGAGTATGGCCAGAAAGAAAGCTCCTGTAAAGTTGGGGCATGCAAAGATGGAGCAGAAGATAACTTGGTTGCTGAAAAGATTAGCATCAAAAAGCCAAGTACTTTGGAACAGGACGACCAAAAAGATGGCCTGAGAGTATCACAAGAACCAGCAGGACTCCACCCTTTGCAACCTCAAAATCACAAAGGTGAAAGACTTTGGTTTTGTTTGTTTGCTTGTTTGTTTTGTTTAGAAAGACTTTGTTTTTGACAAGAGAGTCCCAGGATACCACGCTCCAGCATGGTGGCAGCCCAGAGAATGGGAACTGATTCCCCAGAATTCAGTTCATCACACTCAGTCATCCAGGCATCGAAGGCTTCTGCAGCCACCAGCAAGATACAGAAGCGCTCAGCAGCAGACCCTGGCATCATCCACATGGTACTGCTTTTAGGTGCATGCAGGATGCAAAAGTTGTGGGGTCAGATTCACCCAGATTTCAGAAGTCTTGGGAGGCCAGGCAGTGTGGCCCCTTAGAGGGCAGTTCATGGGGCTGTAAGGGTGAAGCCAGCGCAGTGGAGACCCCAGGATGTTAGAAAAGCCAGGAATGCAGAACATCCGAGGAAAGCTACAAGAAGTGAGCAAAGCTGGCCCAAGAGAGAGGCCGTGAGGGCTACAACCACCAGCAGTGCCATAGGGATGGGGCCACCCAAGCCCTTTGGAGTTTATGTCTTTCCACAGGTTGCCCCGGATGCTGAACATAGAACTATAGGATTTAATGTTTGCCTTGCTGGAGTTTGCTCTTGCTTTGGTGCCATTCCTTCCTGTCCCTATTTGGGAATTTTATTTTGTGCCGTTGTTATGTTGTAAGTGTTCGACTTTCTTTTCATTTTTATAGGGCCTCAAAGCTGAGATTTTTGCCTTAAATCTTGAAGTTTCAGCAATGCTGAAACTGTTAGGACTTTGACAGCTCTTGGAGAGGGACTAAATCCATTTTGCCTGAAAAGTTAACACATGAGTCTTTTGGGAGCCAAGGGTGGAATGTTCTGATTTATATTTTGATGTCTCCCCAAAGCCTTATGGGCTCTTAGGTGGGGCTTTGGGGAGTTGACTGGGTTATGGCTGTGCGATACACATCACTGAATTAGTTCACTGATGGGTTTATAGCTGAGTGTGATGTTGGGAAGTGAAGCCTGCTGGGAACGGGGTGCACTGTGGGCATGACCTGGAAGGGTATATGTGCCCCCTCCTCCCTTGATCCCTGCTCTGCCTCCTGCCTGCCATGCTATGAACCCTTTTTCCACTGCCACGCCACCCTGCCTTGGAGCCAGCCAACTATGGGCTGAAACCCTACAAACTATGAGCCAAAATAAACCTTTCCTTCACTAAGTTGTAGGTGCTGGGTATTGTGTCCCACCAATAAGAAAGTAACTATGACAGATATATTAATTTTCTCTGGCGGTGTTGTGTTAACAGATTATCACAAATTTAGCATCTTAACACAAATCTGTTACCTTACAGCTCTAATCCAGGCGTCCAGAGAGCAGCATTCCTCCCTGAAAACCCTAGGGGAGAATCCGTTTCTTTGCCCTTTTGGCTTCTAGAGGCTGCCCACGTTTCTTGGCTTGTGGCCCCCTTACTCCGTCTTCAAAGATACCAACATTGTGTCTTCCACAGCTACATCTTCCTCTCACTAACTTCTTCCACTTACAAGGATCCTCACGACTTTATTGAACCCACCCAGATAATCCAGGAGAGTCTCCCTATTTTAAAGTCAAATGATTACAAAGTTTAATTCTCCATTGCTATGTAACCTAACATAACATCCCAGTTCTGGGATTAGGGTTTGGACATCTTTGAGGGGTTGGGGGCTCACTATCATCATCATTCTGCTGCCACAGATGTCCCAAAGAAATTCTTGGTATTTTGTTGAAAGTAGGTAATTTACCATGTGGTATTATTCTTTTTTTTCAGTTCTTTTATTGGTACATTTTAGGTATACAATTCGTTTACATTTATCATTGGGTGTTTGTACCTGTACATGATGTATCTTGGTTCTTATTTTTTTTTCCCCCCCATGTGGTATTATTCTAAACCTAGACCAGGTTTAGTATACTGAAAACAAAAATGTCACACAAAACAATTATGTTTGGGCCATTTTTTAAAGCCTTACTCATTTTTTCATCCCTAATAAATATAACTTGCTAGATTGCTTCCCAAAATAAGACCCACCCACTCGGTGGGGTCACCAGTATTGCCTTCTGCAAAAGCCTTCAGCCCTGTGAAGTGGATAGGAAGCTCTTGGGCTGGGGGATGTGGCTCAGTGGCAAAGCTCTTGCCTAGCACATTTGAGGCCCTAGATTCAGTGCCCATTGCCACTAAAAATAAGTCATGCTGTCTCTGGGTCCTTTTTATAATCTTGGGGACCTGGTGGGGAAAGCTTAGGCCCTATAAGAGTCCTTTTTGTTTCTCCTTCTTATGTAGAACTCCTTTAGACAAGTTTATGCTTTTACTCCTTAAAAACTCAAAGTGGCCGCCCATCTGATTCTTAAATCATGAGCCACTTCCACTGAGCCTGCAGCACTTCTCTCCTAGTTTATTTTTTGGTTTCTTGGTTCCCTGTGAGTGCTAGATGGTGATGTGGGGTGATTCTTAGTTGCCCTCTTAGTCCCTAATTACCAGGATCCCCCTCCCTGCCCTGCCTGCCACCCAAGCCCCTCCCGTGGAGACCTCCTGGAGCTACCAGCTTTCCTCCCTCAGATTTTCCCCTTTATTTTCTTTTTCTGGTTTCTTTTTTTTGGTACCGGGGATCGAACTCAGGTCCTTGCGCTTGCACAGCAGGTGGCGAAACCACTGAGCTAAATCCCCAGCCCTTTTCTGGTTTCTTTTTATCTTCCTTCTTCCTGGCTGCATTCTCTTCTCCAGTTTCAGGTCTTCCCCACTTCATCTTCCTGTCCCTCCCCTCCACCACCCCTCAGCTCTTTCCCAACCTCAATGCCCTGTGTCTGTGTCACCTGCCCGGGGCAGAAAAACAGAATGAACAGAGCCCCTTTCCAGATCCAATGGGAAAATGTCTGTGAGGTTGTTGTAAGTTATTCTTTAAATCTACTTCTCAGAATTTGGACGGTTTCTGAAATTAATTATCATTCAGATTTGTGTCTCAGTGGGTACTAGTGGTAGAGTTATTTCAATTTGCATAATGTTACTTGTCTTGTACATAAATCATTTTACTTTTAAAATATAGTCCACTTTCTTTTATATTTCACAAGGTAACTAGTTCGTAGTACCACACAAGTAAGGAGGCCATTCTGCAGTGTTACAGAAAGGCTTTTAGGGTTGGGTTTTCTTTGTTCTGTTTTTTTTGGCAAGAGTTTTTGTCATTGTTGAAAGTGTTTGGTCTTTTGCTTTTTTAAAACCAAAATGTGGATGGCCTTCTATGAATTTTTTTAGAGATCATTTCTTACTATCATTTATCTTGTACGTTATTCAGTTTTCTTTAGCCATTTTATTCAGTGTGAGCTGGATAATTAATGTAAGATGACCACAAAGAATCTAGTAAAATCCATGGGATCCAAGTTTATCCGCAGACTTTCTCTGTGGCTTTTCAGCCAGATCCTACCCAGCTGAAACCAGGTGAGGTCATAGGTATTTTCCAATTAAAATTGTCAGTATTACTCATTTAGCACCACTGTTAGGGTTCCTGATTTATTACTTTACTAGTTAAAAGGAATATGTATCAATACCCATGTATTTCAGAAAAGCCTGTGACAATCTGTAAACCAGTAAAAATTCTTCAAACTGGAGTAAATGTAATAATTTTAAAGCACTGGGGAAACCTCCCTCCTTGTAGCAGTGCCAGCATTCTCCCTGAGCAGCAGAGCTTGAAGAGAACACCCTGCCCGTCTCTCTCCCCAGGGCTGAGTATGGCCAGGCGGAAGATACAGCGCTTCTGACCCTAACATGGCGGCACAGTGTCACTCAGGATCCGTGCTAGAAACTGCCTGAGTTAGGATTTGGATAGAGGTTAGCATTTGTTCCTTCACACCCCCCACAGACTGGCCCACGTTGTGCATTTATCAGAAGCATAGGAAGACATTAGGCCTGTCTTCAAATTATTTCAATAATGAGGTGACCTGGAAGGGCCCTCAGCGGCCTTTCTGTAGATGGTAGCAGCCACTGTTTATAAAATAATCTTTTCGCGCCTTGATTTATAGTTTTAGTGTAGTTAATAGTGACTGACTTAAAGCATTATAAATTTTCACAAGTGGGCATATTGTCAAATAGAATTTAACTTGGTCTTTGTCACTCCATAGTGTAACTGAGATACTAGGGTTAATGGTGTGATCTCCTGTCACTTATCACAGAATCTACATATCGGGGGAAGCCTAAGCTATCCACAATGGCAAAACAGGCTCATCTCTCCCCTGACCTCAGCCCACCCAGGCTGTAGTGGAAGAAATATTCTCTCGTGATGACTGAAGACGCTATGCTTATTCTTAGTTTTCCCTCTTTTTCCTGTGAGCAGGCATCATCTCTTCCTAAATACTGTATTCTTTTTCCCAAAGTGGGGAACTGCTTCTCTATCACTATCATGAGACCGCTCTCCAGAGACCCCCCCTCCCCAGCCACAGTTGGCTGAACCCCATGGTTGGGGAGCCCAGACTTTTCCTGGGACCCACGGAGCCCGCAGATGTGCTTGGGCAGCCGGGCACATCTGTGCAGCTGCTGGCACTGTGGGAGGCCTGCAGAGACAGCACAGAGGTCCTCAGCTCAGAGAGGCCTGGGGCCTGGGGCCTATAAAGGGCCAAGAGTTTCTCTGGCTGACGTTTCAGATCCTGCTGGAGACTTAGTTTTCTGTGGTAGGACTCTCCCAAACTGGGCCTAAATCAGAGGCCTTTGGGGATGGAGGTTTGGATCAGATCCCATGCATACCTGCAGTGTGTGGGGCGGTGCCCTCTCTGTGTCAGCAGTGCCACCTCTCTGTGGTGGGCACCCTCCCCCAGCCCAACACATACATCCCGCCTGCTGCCTGTACGGGGGCTTCGGTCAGGTCCCGGGGGCACAGGGCTGCACAGATGACTGCTTGGTCTGTACTACTGACCCCAAGGTGCCAGAATGCCCAGAGCTGTGCCCCTGGGCTTGAAGAGGGGCCGGGGAAGGGCTGAGCAGAGTCCTTGCTGCACTCCTCCTTCTACCACCATCTAAGGGCTCTCTCACTATTTGCAACACAGGATCTGCAGCGAGACATCGAACAGCACAGTGCAGGGGTGGAGTCTGTGTTCAACATCTGTGATGTCCTGCTGCATGACTCTGATGCCTGTGCCAACGAGACTGAGTGTGACTCGATCCAGCAGACCACCAGAAGCCTGGACAGACGCTGGAGAAACATTTGTGCCATGTCAATGGAGCGGCGCATGAAGTAAGGACCCTGCTGGCCCGAGCTGTAACATGACCAGTGTGCCCAGTGCACCCTGGGCCCTCAGTTACAGTAACTTGTGTTCTGTCCCCGTCGCTTAGAAACGTGCTGGGCATTGGCAGAGCAGGGAGGCCCCAGAAGGTGACCAGTGCTTACTAAGGAGTTACTGAAGTAAGCATTCGGGAGTGAAATCTTTCCCTAGTCCTCCCGAGGCTGCCCACTTTGTGTGGACCCAGCAATGAAGCAGTATAGGCAGCCTTTCTCGGGATTTAATTTTTTGCCAGTACAAGTGGAACCCATGGCCTCACACATGCTAGGCAAGCTGTGATCACTGAGCTACCACCCCACTCTGTCTCCTGTTGTGCATTTCGTGGGGGTGGGGGGGTGGTTGTTGTTGTGTTACTGAGGATTGAACCCAGGGACTTCACACTGAGCTATGCCCTCAGCTCTTTTTATTTCTTACTTTGCGACAAGGTCTTGCTTAGTTGCCTAGGCTGGGTTTGCACTTGCAGTCTTCCTGCCTCAGCCTCCCGGAGTGCCAGGATTACAGGCCTGCACCTCCACGCCCAGCTTTGGTCTCCTATTTTTCACCTCCATGAAGCAGAATCTCTGAGGTGCTTAGCCCTACCAGACAGGGAACAGCCCAAGAAGTGGTGAGCTTAGTTATGTCCCAGCGGGAGTTGCAGGATCTCTCCCCAGATGCCACAAGCATAGGTCAGTTAGGAATGGGCCCTGTCAAGGGACAAAAAGAAGTCCAAAAGCTTGGGGTGGAAACAGATGGCTGTGCTAAGTCACTTTCCTCCCGTCAGGATTGAGGAGACGTGGCGCCTGTGGCAGAAGTTTTTAGATGATTATTCCCGATTTGAGGACTGGCTCAAGTCTGCCGAGAGGACAGCAGCCTGCCCTAACTCCTCGGAGGTGCTGTACACGAGTGCCAAGGAGGAGCTGAAGAGATTTGAGGTAAACACCCTCCCCGTCCTGCCCCTGCTAGTGCCCACACCAAGCAGCTCAACAGCTTCTGAGTGACTTCCCACCTCTGGCGGGGCCGGCACGGTCCCCAGCCTGCCACCAGCTGCCGAGACAGCTTTGCTGGACAAACTCCCAGGCACCAAGGGCTCTGCAAAGAACTTGAAGCCTGTGCTTTAGCAGGCATCAAAGAATGGGGGAAGTGGCCCTGTGGACACTGAGTTTGGGGTTAGCCACTCGGAGCAGGCCTTTGAGGATGGGAAGGAGGTGGTCCTCGGCCTCCTCAGCCCTGACCACCCCGTGTGCCCCAGGCCTTCCAGCGGCAGATCCATGAGCGGCTCACCCAGCTAGAGCTCATCAACAAGCAGTACCGGAGGCTGGCGCGAGAGAACCGCACCGATACAGCCAGCAAGCTGAAGCAGATGGTCCATGAGGGCAACCAGCGCTGGGACAACCTCCAGAGGCGGGTCACGGCTGTCCTGCGGAGACTCAGGGTAACCATCCCTGTAGCACCGGGGCCATCAGGAGGTTCTCGGGGCAGGGACATGTGACTCACAGTGGCAGGCTTGTAACACAAAGCGGCGGGTGGAGGCGCCCAGGCCTAAGCTATCTTCATGTTCTTCAGCATGCAGAGCCAGGATCTGTCACCACAGGATCTGCACTGGGGCTTCCTGGGCAGAGCCTGCTTGTGTGATCTGTGTTAGCAAACACACCTCTCTTTACATCTTTAACCCCAATGGCATGCACATTAGCACTTGCGCTCAGCCTCGGTGGAGAAAGCAACACATGGGCCTCCAGAAGGAGCCCTGTGTCCCTCCGCCTGCCCTGCTGGCCCTGCCCCAGGAACAGAGGTGAAGTGCATCTATGTGTGCACCCCCTTTGCACTGGGGAGGGGACACAGCGATTGTCCGCTGAGCTTTGGAGCATGTGGACTAAGCTCAGAGGTTGGGTTTGGTTTTTAATGTGAGTACCTCAGACAACACTTCGGCTGCTTAAATCCCTTATATAAAATGCTACCGTATTTGCATGCAATCTACACGTGTGTGCATCTTCTCTACTCGTGCACTTTAAATCACCCCTAGATGACTTATCGCTGTTACACTGTATAGTTTAGGTAACTGAATAATGACAAGAATGTCTGTACATGTTCGGTGCAGGTTTTTTCCCAAATATTTTCAGTTCATGGTTGGCTGAACCTCGGTTGTGGAACCTATCTTGCCTTAGATTTCTGTAGTTCGCAAGATGGGCTGTGTGAACCTTTATGAGTCCAGGCCCAAACTGAAAGAGCCTCCAAAGGCAGGGACTGCAGGATCTGCAGGATGTAATTGGGGGGGGGGGGTGCCGGGGATCGAACTCAGGACCTTGCGCTTTCGAGGCAGGCGGCATGCAGGATGTAATTTTAATCACTGCTTCTTCTCAGGACAGGATGCTTTTGAAACTATTCTAGGAAGATGAGAATCTGGGCATTTTTTTTAACCCTCAGGAGGATATTGGCTGACATCTCCAGTAATCCAGCCAGTTCCCATGCATTAATTTCTGTATCTCCTGCTGACTTGACGTGTTACTAATCTAAACCTTCATTTAGCCCTGAAGGCCACATTTATCAGGGAATCACCTGCTCATCTGTGCAGTGGTAACCTGAGAGGCCTCCTTTATCAGAGACTCTCTCGTTTGTTGAAGTAGAAGCGGAGCCTCAGAGAGGTTGGGGGACTTGTTTGGTGTTGCACAGCTGGAACTAGATCCAGGATCCACAGTGCACCCCAGGCCACTCCAGGGGCAGGTTGCTCCATGAGCGCTCAGGCACCCTGTCCATCAGGCCGAAGGTGACCTCACTGGCTACCTGAGTCCTTGTTACGAGGTCAGTACAAACACAATTTTCTTCTCCTTCACAGCATTTCACCAACCAGAGGGAAGAATTCGAGGGCACCAGAGAGAGCATTCTAGTGTGGCTCACGGAGATGGACCTGCAGCTCACCAACGTGGAGCACTTCTCAGAGAGCGACGCCGACGACAAGATGCGCCAACTGAACGTAAGGGCTGTTTTCCCCGCTCCTCCCGAAAAACAGCTCTGCAGGGAAGAGCTGCCCAAGTACTAGTTCCACCTGCTTCTTGGGGAGCAGATTCCGGGATTCCTCCAGTAACCAGGTTGCATCCCTCATGCACTGGATTACCACTGATCTCTGCAGCTAAGGGATCATGGGAGCAAAGCCCTTTTTTCCCTTGGTCATTTATAGTCATCCACGGGGGAACTCGCTTGAAGGTCCAAGCGGAATTTCCTGCGAGACTGTTTTCCCCAACTCTTGCCTCTGAGAGCAGCATGCTGGTGCAGCAAGAGGAAAACCTGCCCCGTGGGACAGAGAACAGACGTCTCCTGCTGTCCCACTGTCACACAGAACTGTCACAGCTTTATCTCATTGTCTTCTCTCCATGGCTAGCTGTTAGAGGAAAAAGTGCCTTCCTAATATAATGGCACTGGTGAACATTATGACTGTGTCAGCCACAGCGTACACCCTTGTTGGCTTATTAGGGAAGTGTTCCATTTCCACCAAGTGTCCTTTCCTTCACACCCAATAACGGTAATTATAAATCTGTGTCAGAGTTTGAGAATTTTTTAAATTGGGAAAAATCAGTGCTCGGAGGAGGAAAAAAATACAATCATTTAAAATTAAATCATCATCACTTAAAAATTGATGAAGCTGGAGTACTAAGCACAAAGAAAAAATGACGGAAGGAATAATGCCATAATGACACTGGGTGCGTTTTTCCTACAGCCTGGATACTCAGGGAAGTTTTCTTTTTTTAAATCCTTGTTCATCTTCTACACAGGGCTTCCAGCAGGAAATCACATTAAATACCAACAAGATTGACCAGCTCATCGTGTTTGGGGAGCAGCTGATTCAGAAGAGCGAGCCCCTGGATGCAGCGCTGATTGAAGATGAGTTGGAGGAGCTGCACCGCTACTGCCAGGAGGTGTTCGGCAGGGTCTCCCGCTTCCACCAGCGCCTCACGTCCCTCGCACCGGTGAGGACCACCCGGGCCCCGGGCTGCTCAGGGTGTGCCTTGGACCAGAAGTTTAAAGAACTAAAAAGCTTATCTTGTAGTGGTTAACACGGTTTATTTTACGGTTCTAAAAAGCGCTACATCCAAAAATGTATTTCCGCGTTTGTTAATACACAGCTGCGATTACTTAAAAAGTTCTCACTTCAGAGTGGAAAGGTTTAAAAAGGTCTCGTTCCTCTTACCGGTTTGCCATGTATTCCTCAGCACAGGGCTTTTCAGACATGTTAGTACCTCTAAAATTCACTAAAAATTGTTCTGGTTTTGATTACATGTGGTAGTAACTTGGCAATGTATTTGCCTTTTCCTCTGTTTTAGTCTGGAAACTGTTAATATTTATGCCTTTATGAGGCTTTGTTCTCACCTTTGAACTGCTGTAGCAGCCTTCAGAGGCAGCTCAGATGTCTCCTCTGGCAGGAGGCCACTGGGATGCTGGATGGAGTTGAGGCCATCATCCATCCAACCACTGCCTTTGTGTCCTAGAAGCTTTAATGGTGACCACTGACCAACATGACTGGCTGGTTCTTTTTTGTGTTCTCCCAGCAGCCAACCTCAAATGTAGTTATTTTCTCATCAGATATAACCTTAAAAATTCCCTAAGAATTTCTCATTTTTAAATGTAGTGGTTTATAGTCACTTTTCTTAGACTGATAGAGACATTGCAACATAAGCAGAATAGACACTGGACAGTAAGACTGGAGGAGAAGAAGGAACAAGCCACGTGTATTTGTTACTTGAAGTTGTGATTCTTATCCAGAACATTAGTATTAATCTCCTTTGTTTCTATTTTCTTTCTGGGTTTTGTTTTGCTTTGTTGTGGTATTTTTTTGTTTTGTTTTGTTTTGTTTCTGATTCTTGGAGGAACTTGCTATTACCCATAATGAAACTTTGGCCACCATTTCCTTATCTTCCAAATAAAGTTACTGTAACTTTGATGATCAAAGTTCAACTTTTTTGCTAAGAAAAATGCTAAAATTTTTGTAGAATACAGAACCTAGGCTCCATTCTGGATTCCCTAAACTCAAATAACCATAAATAGGGCCTAGGAACCTGATTCTTTTTAAAGATGTCTTAGAAAGACTAAAGTGGCTGTTTTTGGAAATTCCTAGACAGAAAACGTCTAGTGTTCATTTGAACTGCAGTTGCCTTTGAGTTGGTTCATTCTAAAAACTGGATACTCCCACACAGGGCTTGGAAGAGGAAAAGGAGGTGTCTGAGAATGAAGCGGACATGGAAGACCCCAGAGAGATCCAGACTGATGCTTGGCGTAAAGAGGGAGAGAGCGAGGAGCCCACGTCTCCCCAGTCCCTTTGTCATCTGGTGCCCCCAACTCTGGGGCATGAGCGGTCTGGCTGCGAGACCCCCGTCAGTGTGGACTCCATCCCACTGGAGTGGGATCACACAGGTGACGTGGGGGGCTCATCCTCTCACGAAGACGAGGAGGGCCCATACTACAGTGCAGTGTCAGGTAACTGCTGCCGTCCCTGCCCTCGAAATTGGCCCACGTGCCTGTGTTTCTGGCACTTTAGCAACACGGCCAGCTCTCAAGGACTAGGAGTCCACTTTGTGGCTGACCCAGACTTGTGTCGCTTCCTGGGTTCTGTCCTGCCCACCTCTTGACTTACCTAAGAACTGGCTCGCTCCTATTACAGGCGGAATGGAAAAGAAAAAGAAAATCTATATTTGGACATTTAAGGCAACTCCCTTAGGCCCAGGCTGTTGGGGGACTCACCAGTTAACTTTTCCATGGAGTTTTTTTTTCTGAGCATCAGTAGATCGACAGCTCCATTATTTTCATGTCCTCTCCCTTTGCCCGCCACTCCTGCAGTCAGTCAGGAGTTGGCTGGACTAAAAAATCCTTCTAATTTTTTTTTAATTTAATAAAGATTGAGTAGTTTCCCCTTCCAGCTGGCAGTGTTTCTACTGTGTTAACTTGGGTGTGAATCTGTAGGCACCTCCAGTGAGGAAAATGACATTATTCTTTTTCAGATGTAGAAATCCCTGAAAATCCTGAGGCATATCTTAAAATGACCACAAAAACTTTGCAAGCATCTTCTGGTAGGCCCCTGCCCGTGCATGTGTCTCAACATGGCAGCATCCTGTGGCACACACTGCATCCTAAACCTCGCTCCCATGTCGTGTCTGACTGTGCCTTCTGTGGACACCATGCACCCGGTCCTTGTGTCATGGTGTATTTGCCATTCTCATACCTGCGTGCTTACCAAACCTGCCCGCTCCGGAGGGTCTCAGTGCCACCCCCAACCCACGGGCCTCTGCCAGAGGAATTGTTTCTCGGTGTCAGCTAATGGAAGTGTCTTGGCATGGGGCCAAGCTTTCCTCATGGTGGCTTGGTTCGGAACTGTCTCCTTGCTTCTGGCGACTTCCTGGGATGGGGACAGGGGTCGGGTGGAGGTACCAGTGCCTTTGCCGCAGGAGAAGGTACCTCCCTTTCCTTGACTTGCAGTTCTAACCCTTACGCTCCCTGCCCCCACCTGCAGGGCTGGGGAGAGCCATGAGCAGCTCTTTGTTCCCAAGTCCATCTTCACTGGTCACTTTTTCCCTCACTCCAGAGAGGCTTCCTGCTCCCTTGGCCCCAAAACCACTCAAGACACCAGCTCCACTCCCGCAGCGAATCATGTGTCTTGTGCTCCACCAACCCATCTAGTGAAGGCACAGCGTTGCTCAGCTGCATGCCTCATCTCATTCCCTCCCGAGACATACTGACACCTTGCAAACATGCATGCTTTGCAAGGAAAGCTGAGGAACTATAACCTGATGCCATGTTACCCATGACCCTTTTCATGTCACTAAACACAAGCCCTTTGGTTGGAGAACAGACCCGTCACTTGCTCCTTTTCGTTTCAGGTAAATCCATTTCTGATAGCCACTCGTGGCATGTTCCTGATAGCCCTTCCTGTGCCAAGCATCACTACAAACAAATGGAAGAGGACAGGAGCGAACCACCCATCCCCTCTGATGCCAGCACCCCATATAAAGCGCCCTATGTAAGTCATGACACCATGGGAACATTACCCAAGTGGAAGAGGTGAAATTTTAAAAAGACAGACTTTGGTGCCAACTGCATGTGCCCAGTCACCACGTTTTGAGTTGGTTTCCTCACAGTGACGGTGTCAGTAGTAGAGAGCTTGCCTAGCAGGCACAAGGGCCCTGGGTTCTAATCCCAGCCCTGCCAAAAAAGAAACCAAGAAAACCTCTTCTGAGCTGTCAGTACTTCATTAGAACCCTGGCAAACTGACAGGATTTAGACAAGTTTCTGGCCAAAAACCATCTTAGTGTGCATTGTGGTGATACAACTTACTGTTGAGTCACTTGTCCATCTAAGTAGTGAAGAAGCAAAGTGCTGGCCTTCCCTAAACTACTCCTGACCTCCCGAAATTTTGTTAGATTTACTTTTTGGCCATACATCCTAGTCAGAAAACCACCAGGACTTCATAATTCCAACCTAATGCTGTGTTGTGATAGATGTGGGTTTGATTTCCAGCCCTACCAGCTCATTGCTCTGGGTTCTAAAGCACTCTGCCTTTCTCACCTGAGGGTAAAGCTGCCTAATGTAAGTGTTGTCAGGATTTATGTATAAAGGTAAAAGACAACCCTCAGCAATGGGCCCTCGGTCATTCTTACTACTGCTATGTATTGGGTTGTTGATCATAGCCACTGCTCCTTCTCGGTTCCATGAGTTCTTGCTTCTTACTACCAGGTCATGAGCTCTGGCTAGCAGCTATTGGGGGTCAGTCTAGGGTTTAATGGTGGCCAGAGATGATTCTCAATATGGAGACTGATGAGAGTTAAAATTAAAGCAACTGGTTGCATTTTAGTGCCACCTTTTTATAAGAAAGTATCAGTGGATTTAGTCCAAGTGCCATTTATGTCTAGGAGTAACTGACCATTGCTGCATAATTGGAGATGGTGCTGAATTTATATTCTCCAAGTCATTTCATATTGGTTTGGCCATGCCCAAGTCAGAAACTCTTCTTGCTTAGCAAGCAGCTGTCACTTCATCTGCCCCTCTGACCCCAGCATCTCACCCATGCTTTGCACCATTGCAGGCCTGTGGCATCTTTCAGGTGTTACACTTGTATCCCTCACCAGGTCATTTTCAAAGCTCAGCCTTTTTATTGTGTCTGAAGCCAGGCATGTCACCAGCAATCTGAAGCATTTTTTTATTTTTTTCCATAGGCCATATGGACACAAGCCAAGCAAAGCATAGCTTTTCTAAAAGAAATACATTTATTTTAGGAAAGTAGTGAGATAATAGCCCAGTCAGCTCTGTGATAATGGAAGAGCCAGAATGGGCAGTGAAGGATAAACACTTGGTAGCAAATGACCCTGGGATGCAGGTCATCCTCCGTGCATCTGATTCTCAGTGATGAAATGTCAGGCCCCTCAGTACGGGGGAGGGGGCAACTGAAATTTTGTGAGAATGCAAAATTGCTAGCACAGAGCAGTCAACAGCAGCCACGCTCAATACTGCTTCTGTGTTTTTGTGTGGTTCGTGTGGGGACTGTTAGGAGGCCTGCAGATAAAACAGCCATCTTATTCCCATCATCGGCGTCCTGTCTGCTTCCCTGAGCTGCTGCTGAGGCGTTGTCTTCGGCTGGAAGAAGGCGCCCCAGATCCTCACTTCCTGCCTGTTAATGTGAACCCAGTTGTTTTGCACATAACCTTTAAATTTGACAGATGGTAACTTAAAAACTGGCTTATTCTAGGTAAAGCTGCTATTACATCCAGGCACTGATGGTGGCAAAGATGGCCTAAGCACCTTGAATGGCAGCCTGCAGCAGGAGGAGGAGCAGCTGGCCAGCTTGACAGGACAGCACTCAGGTACTGCCGCAGGCAGGCCTTGGGAAAGGTGTATGTGGTGTCTGAGCCTCATTCGATAGCTACTATAGGTCACTGCTCAACAGAACATTATTTGGGAATCTACCACCTACAGGATATAACTTGGCAGAATTGCTGAACTTACCTTACAGCAGTGGTGGCGAACCTATGGCCCCCATGTTTTTCTTGTAAGACAAAAGATGTTTATGTATGAGTTGTTTTTTTCTAAAGTAACACTTCAGTATTCAGGGTTAATTGCAGTGTCAGCACTTTGTGGTAAGTGGGTGTTGGTTGCAGTTTGGGTGCTTGTCTCTAGGAGGTTTGCCATCACTGCCCTGCAGCAACCAGTGTTATTTTCAAGTCAGCTGACTTGCATTTATGACTGAATCCATAGGTTAGTCCTTTAAATTTGGAAAGCATTCTTTAAGCACTTACAAAAGGCGTCTCATTCATGTGCTAAACTGCCTGTTTTTAAAGAGTACACATCGTGTGTGTAAAAAGTCAGACATGAAGGTCCTACCATTGTCTCAGGTGCCTCCTCATTAGACCAGTCCCATAATTCTCAAAGTAATTACCCAGCTAAAGCTAAAGTAAAGTCGAGAGCATTCTCATCATTCATGGGAGTGGAGCAGGGTAGAGCAAAGATGTGTGTGCCAGAGAGAAGGCCCCAGCTCACATCCTCCTGCCAGGAGCGTTCCCTGAACATTTTCCATCCTGACCCAGTAGCTGAGGAGAGAAATCCTTTTTGCATTATTCCTTTTTTAAATTGGTAGCTTTTGGGGCCGGGGATTTAGCTCAGTGGTTCTGCCCGCCTGCCTTGCAAGTGCAAGATCCTGAGTTTGATTCCTGGTACCAAAAAAAAAAATTGGTGGCTTTTGATTCCAGGTGCCTTTGACAGATGGGAACTGATACAAGCCCAAGAGCTTCACAGTAAGCTCAGAATAAAACAAAATGTGCAGCAGCTGAACTTGATCATCAGTGAAATCACTGCTTGGCTAGAAAAAACTGAAGAAGAGCTGGAAACTTTAAAGATGGCAAAGCCTCCCTCTGATATCCAGGAACTGGAGCCCAGAGTGAAGAGACTGCGGGTGAGCTGGAGGCGCGGAGCGGGGCGGAACTCAGCATGCAGTGCTGTGCTGGGTGAATGTATCAAGCATGCTCAAAGTGGAGGTGGTGGCTCACAGGTGGATGTGGTCGAGGGCTGTGTCTCCCATGTCACTTCTGTATCGCCATGAACACAGATTTCTATTCTCACATGGGAGAGTATCAACAAGTGATCCCAGAGTGGTGCTGGGAAGTGGGCTTTAGATGCCCAGGGCTGGGAAGAGCTGACTTCTGAGACGACTCTAGATTGTGATGGAGGTACTGGTGGCCACCCCTGCAGACCACAGGCAGCCATTCCAAGCAAGGCCAGCTCACCTACTGATGAATCCTGGGCCCTGATCTTGTTACCTTGCGGTACAGTTAGGACTGGGTTTTCACAGTAAGGGACAGGGGTCTTAGGGCATCCAGGCACTCTTCATATTTGGACCTTTGTTTTACTTGGTGCATTAATACAACAGAGGTTACCATTCATTCTGAGGAATAACATTACTGGGATATCCAGGGGCAAATGCAGAATACCTACATCTACTTTACCTGGAAGACTTTTCGTCAGCTCCGGAAATGTTAGTAAGCCAACTGCAGAGCAGGGGCTATGGATAGGAGCAGGATCTCGAGACTTCCAGTCAAGGCGAGCACCCAGGAGGCGGGGCTCTGTCCTCAGGCCCAGCCAGCCAGCCAGTGCAGCCCGCTGACCATGAAAGGCAGCTCCCTCACCTGATGCTTCCTACCCAGTCACAGCCAAGGTCACTTTTCAGTTGTGGCCACAGCTTAGAGAAGTGTAGGGAAGATCATTCCCTCCCAAGGTTCAAAATGAGCACTTTCTCCTGATTTCCAGAGCACCTAACCTGATCCTTTCCCTCCATGGTAGGAGATATTAAAAGCTTTTGACACCTACAAGACTTTAATGGTCTCTGTCAACGTGAGTGGCAAGGAATCTCTGCCACCTGAGAGCGCCGAATCCACAGAGCTCCAGCGTAGACTCTGCGAGCTGAGCCTGCACTGGGAGGCGGTCCAGGGTGTGATGGACAGCTGGAGAGGGGACTTGCAGCAGTCACTCATGCAGTGCCAGGTATGCCGACTCAGTCCCGGGCCAGGCCCACACAGCGGGAGCAACAGATCTCTTTACCATAGGAGGCTGCTTTGGCACAGCCCTGTGCTTTACTGTTTTTAGCCAGAGGGCAGCCAGCCACACACACCCACACCCGCCCCGTCAGTGACCCAGTACTGGTCCTGGGTCTCATCTACTGCCCAGGACCACACCTGCATTCTTGAAGTGGGTTGGAGATGCCACCCCAGCTCTGCCCCACCTCTGTCCTCTTGCCAAGGTGACTGAGAACCTTGGCCCTAGAACAGAGAAGCAGTTTAACTCAGCTCTACAGCTTAGTAGTTGGGGAACTTCGGGAAAATCATTGAACCTTCTAGCCCTCAGATTTCACTTCTGAAAAATGGAAGTTATCTCAGTGCCACCTCCCAGGGCCCTTTATAGGATTAAATGAGGTGGCGATGTATGTGATACCTAAGTGTGTGGAATGTGTCAGTTCTGAACCCATCTTAAGGAATGTGGCCCACCCAGCCTAGTGTGTTGGGTGGCACATGTGTCGAATATGATGTCAAGCTGGGGGCACCCTGCAGCCCCTCCTTGCTGTTAGCACTTTCTACCTGATGCCTCCAAGTCTGCCAAGTGCACTTGGTCTCCATCCCTGCTTTCCTCTCTCCTTGGTTTGAGCCCTGGCCCTTTTTCCCACTGGTTAGACAAGGCGCGTGCCTGGGATAGAGTAGCGGCAGCAAGCTGCCTTCAGGCACAGCCGCTGTAGCACTCCATCTGGGCAATGCTCTGATGATGCGTGTTGTGTTCTAAGGACTTCCACCAGTGGAGTCAGAACCTGCTGCTGTGGCTTGCAAGTGCTGAGGACCGGAGGCAGAAGGCTCTTGTCACCGACCCAAAGGCTGACCACCAGGTTCTCCTGCGCTGCCAGAAAAAACTCATGGTAAGTTTCCTCTCCAGGGGCTCCAAGCCCTCGGCTGCCTGCCCTATCTGCTCTGTACTGCAGTGCCAGGCTGTGACCAGAGTCCACCCTTGTGCTCCTGGTGGTGTCTGCCTAGCAGCTGGCTGTGATTCTAGAGTAGAATGACATGCAGGGATGAAAAGCCAGAGCAAGAAGTGTTTGACTCAGGAATTGGGGTCAGGGATGTTGACAGTATCCTGAGGCTATTGAAATAGAAGGAATCTTTTCCTTGTGAATACAGTCCTTCCTTTGGCACCTGCAAAAGACTGGTTCCAGAACCTCCACAGACACCAAAAATGTTGAATGCTGAAATCCCTGAAATAAAATGCATATATTATTTGCATATACCCAAGATATGTCCTCCTGTGTGCTGTCTCTAGATTGCTTATAATACTCTTATAATGTACATGCTAGGTAATAGTTGTGTTGTTTAGGGAATAATGACAAGGAAGAAGGGATGCTTAGTACAGCTGCCAGTTTTTTGTTATAGTTTTGACCCCTGACTGGTTGAATCTGTGCCTGTGGAACTCTGGTACAGAGGGCCAACCTAGCTGTTCGTCTGGGAGAAAGAAGGCCCTGATTTGTTCTGCAGCCAGGATGAGCTGCATGTGGTTTCATTTTTAATATTTTAAATTTAAAATTGCTAAACAATGCTTTAAAATTTTTTCCCTCTAAAATCACTGTAAAACCCCACTCTAGAGCAGCAGTGAGAAATGTTCTCTGCATTGTCCAGTGGGATGGCCACTAACTGCAGATAGCACGAAACACTTGAAATGTGGCTCTTGTGGCTGAAACCAAGTTTTTAAATTTTGATTGGACACCCACCCTTAACAATGCACGATGACATGCCTGGTCCATACCTTCGAATCTCTAAATGGCATGCTGATGCTGCTCATTCTCTGTTGCCTTTGGTTTCCCTTGACTTCCTTCCCTGGTGGATAAGGGCCCAGTCTTCCTACAACACCCATTCCCTTCTTTCCTCTAATTTCTCCAATATCATAATTATTTCAGAGTTAAAAGGAATAAAAAAAATAGGGTCCAGCCAACTTGGTCTCTAAAGGCAGATGAGAGGGAGAAGGTTCTAGAAGTGAGTGGCATCCATCCTTCATCCTGGAACCAAGAAAGCCTTATCTGGCCACACTTTGGACAACTGTTTCACACACATTTTTATTTCCAGCACCTAGAAAAGGAACTAGCAGAATGTCAACCTCAAGTAAATTCCTTACATGAGATTTCCACCAGCCTTCTCACTAAGGGGAACAGAGAAGACTACATTGAGGCTGAAGAGAAAGTCCATGTTATCAAGAAGAAACTCCAGCAGTTACGTGAGCAAGTAGCCCAAGATTTGATGTCCTTGCAGAGAAGCCAGGTGAGTCCACTTGTAACTTTGGTGTTAAGGTGTCAAAGTAGATGCACACTGGAAGGCAGGGTTGGTAGCCTCACTGTGGCAAGCAGGCCACGAACAGAGGGGCAGGTGGTCAGAGTGGAGGGTCAGCCCCCTTTCTAGCTTGGATAGCCTTAAAAACTTGGGTAAGTTCCCTATATGTGTTTTATCCATTGAAAAAGGGAGGTAACAGTGGCACAGTACCTACCTACCCGTATGGCTGGCATTATGAAAAGCAGATGTGTGGGTATGGCGGCTCATTTTTATAATCCTCTGAGAGGCTGAGGCAGAAAGATTGCAAGTTTGAGCTCAGACAGGGTGACTTACCAATTAAGTGAGACCCTGACTCAAAATTTAAAAAAGCTTTGAGGATGTAGCTCAGTGCAGAGGCCCTGGGTTCAATCCTCAGGAATGAAAAGAAAAACAAGTCCCTCCATCATTTCTGCTGTACCTTCATGCCATACAGACGCAAGCTTTCACTTTCTCACACTGACTTGGCTTCACTGTCCACTTTAAAATGTCGTCCAACTCAGAACCAATGGGACAGAGACTGTGGCCTCCCCGGCCATGGAGCAGGACCCTCCATCCTGGAGTCCCTGCATGCTTCCTGGACACCCTGTCTGGGAAGTGTCGGTGGCTACAGGACTCTACCAGAGTGGTGAACTCACCATCAGCTGGAATTATGGTCAATACAAGTGGTTGGCCTTGCCTTGGCTACTTCCCTTTTCTCTGAAAAAGTATGTTCAAGTGAAGGGCGCGCAATAGAAAAGCCCATCTTAGGGCTGGGGATTGAGCTCAGTGGCACCGTGCCTGCCTCACAAGCTTAAAGTCCTGAGTTTGATCCCCGATAACCAAAAAAAAGAAAAGCCCATCTTTAAGGAGGATTTAAGCTGGGGCAGGGGGGTGTGAGCTCTTCTTTGACTGCATGAAGCACAGTTCTGTGCTCTCGAGCCCATTCAGAACCTTCTGCTTCTGTGAACTGAACTTTCGGGTGTGGCTTTCAGAATTCAGACCCAGCTCTGCCTGACTTTGATGAAGTGGACGCGTCTCCTGTAGCATTCGTGTCAGCTCCCCAAGCCAAGGTGAGAGCCCCTTCCTTCTGGGAGAACTGCGCTGGCTATTTTTTAAGTCACTGAAATGACAGAAATATAGACTCCAAGGCCCCTTTAGGTATTACTTGACAGCACAGATCTGCTTCAGCCTACTGAAGGGAGAAGCTTACTCCGAAGATTGAATATATTAAATACCCTTTTTAAAGACCTGGCTCAGAGGCTCTTCTGGTCACTCTTGTTTGAGAAAACAGTAGGTTTTGAAAAAATGAGAGCCCTTATGAAAGGGGTTTCCTCCTTTGTTGTGGTCTCTCTTTGGGGCCACTCAGGAAAAAGGAGGACCATTTTTTTTGGTATCGAGGATCAAACTCGGGACCTTGTGCTTGCAAGGCAGGTGACGGAACCACTGAGCTAAATCCCCAGCCTGCAACTGTTCTGAAACTGAGTATTATTGCCCAGTGTCTTTTTGAAATAAAGAACCAGTCCCTCTTTAAAAAAAAAGGCGGCGGCGGGGGGGGGGGTGTTTCCTGATTTCTCTATTAAAGCAGAATAGACTGGAACGTGAAATTCTTGATAGTTTTAATTGCAGTTGTTTAGCTGAAGTGAACTGAATTTCTAACTATTACCTTAGTCCCAAAAGTGTTGCAGGAAGACAACCTAAGGAAGGACCCATTTTATCACTGACAGGACTAACCTGTCTTCTACTTACTGGCTTCTTTGTTCCAGGAGTTCAGAGCAGAGGGGACGATGGAGGATGAGGACGAAAGTGACAGCAGGTAATGGCATTACAGACCCAGCAGTGATCCTGGGCACCACCCTCAGTGCCCCAGCTTTGCCAGAGCCACCATCTGGTTCTCTTCCATCTGCAAAGACTGGGCTTCTCCAAAACTCAACCCCAGCCGTTGGACCCCTTCTGATCTCACTTCCTGGCTTTCTTACTCTCTAGGCAGAGGGTCAGGTTGCATGGGTGGGCATGGCCTCTACCTCCTAACCTGTGTTTCACCTCCTGTTTGGCAGGGTGTCCAGCCCCGCTGACCCCAGCAGCTCAGAGCCACGGCGCTCCTTCCTCTCTCGGGTGATCAGGGCTGCGCTGCCCCTGCAGCTGCTCCTGTTGCTGCTGCTGCTTCTGGCCTGCCTGCTGCCCGCCTCCGAAGAGGATTACAGTTGCACCCAGGCCAACAACTTCGCCCGCTCCTTCTACCCCATGCTGAGCTACACCAACGGGCCGCCCCCCACATAGTGGGCTTGGCAGCACCGCACCACCAGCCTGTCTGCCACAGGCGCCCAGCTCGATCTGTCAGTGACTCACGTTGCCAGGCCGGGGACCTGGTGCAGACACCTCCCTCTGGGATTGCCTGGGGCAGGGAGCAGCAGCAGCTGCCCTGCGCATTCTGGCACAGCTAGCTGACTCGTTGAGGAGACTCTGGGAAGGGCAGTTTCCTGAAGAGCCATGCACTTTGTGAATCTTGACTTATTTGTAAAACAGCATTATTTTAACATATTTAATATGACCCATGAGCAGTGGCGTTCGTCCCATTATATAAAGACACAGATTCAGCCTTAGAAATGGTTCAGAAACTCATACACCCTGAGCTCTGATGGGTCAGAACAATCATTTTAAATGCTTAGCATCAGTTTTCCTCCACAATCAGCTAGCAAGTTTGAGCTACTGGTTACAAGCCAAAATGTTCTGTTCGGTACCCAGGCTTGCTCTTTTATATTGCTCTAAATTTTTTAAGAAATTTTACTGCATGGTCATGGTTACTTGTGTATATTTTTTAACAATGCTGAATCTGTATAAAGTAAACTTTGATTTTTTTTTTTAAAAATCTGATTTTAGCTCAAGCTTTTGACTAATGACTTAATAGTGATGTTTTTGTAAGTTAATTTTATAAGACTTCACATTTAAAGAGACGTTTCAGGTTTGGTTGAACTGTTTGGCTATGGGGGGGCAGGGTTGGTACAAAAACTTGAAGCTATTTGTGGTATGTACAACTCAGATGTTTCTCATTAAAACACAAAATTAGCTAAAGTGTTGCATTGGATCGTAATTGCAAAGCGGAACAATGGCACACAATTTTCCAGAGAACAAATTTGGAGCTCTTTATTCTACTTATTTACCTTTGGACAGAATAAGATCTAGAAGCCTCAACCCGTCCTAGACAGAGGTTCCTTATGTGTGTGTGCAGGGCTTGGCGTGTGATCCAGCTGCGGTACAGGGCTGAGGGCAGCACCGCAGGAAGGTAAGATGTGAACAAACACCACCAGCCGGTTTTTTCCTAGTCCCAGCCCTTTCTGGAATGAATTATAGGTGGAGAGTCCCTTATCCAAAAGGCTTAGGACTGGAAGTGTTTTGGACAGGGGGCTTTTTTGGTTTCGGGAGTATCTGCATATACATAATGAGGTATCTAGGGGGTGGGATCCAGGTCTATACAAGAATTCATCTATCTCATATGTACTTCACACTCAGTCTGAACTATGCAGTTTTTAGTAATTTTGTGCGTGAAACAAAGTTTCATGGTGTAGAATTTTCCAGTTGTGGTTCCTGTCTGCCCTCAAGTTTTGGATTTAGGGCTGGGGATGTAGCCCAGTGGCGGAGCGGTTGCCTAGCATGTATGAACGAGGCCCTGGGTTTGATTCCCTGTGGAGAGGGGGTAGAGTTTTAGGTTTTGGAGTTTTTTGGATGAAGGTGTTCAACCTGGGACAGGTAATCGAGTGTCTAACAGATATTACAGGTAAAGCTACCTACTTTCCACAGAAATTCCATCACCAGTGTTGTCGACTTCCACCTGAACGAGGCAAACCTTAGCATTTCACCTCCCTGGATTTGGGAGTTACTGACCCAGTCCTTACCTGCATCTCTGGCACTTGGAAGCCCCAGTGATGGACACAGTCCAGTCCTTTCCTCTGCAAAGCACCTACCTTGGGAGGCCAGTGAAGCCAAGTGGTATCTGAAGCCCAGACTTTCCAAGCTGGGGTGCCTCAGTGTGGACATCACAAGGCCTGTGCACTAAGCCAGCAGCTCCACAGCCAAGGGACTATTGGAAGAGAATCTGTCTTCACTTTACCTTCAGTATTTTAAGTTGTCAAATTGTTTAATGGATATGGAGAGAAAGGTGGAGTTCAAAGTATTTTAACTCTTCAAAATGAATTACGATAATGCCAGAGAAAAGTACTATGTAAGTGAAAATGTCACATCTTTTCCCTTAAACCAGGGAGTTGCTTGGAGGGTCCCCATCCAGTATAGCCTGGGGCAAATGGCAGTCTCTGAGCCCTTCTGTGGGCTCTATTGCTGCAGGGCAAATCAAGGTGCTGGCTACATTTCAGAGCCTAATTATATAGCAGCTGGGGGCACCTCCAAGATAGAGAGTGAGTGTTGCATTTACCCCCCAGCTCCAGGGAATCCTGCTGCTGCAATCCTTCCCCCAAACCTGTGTGTGCCCCAAACCCTTGTACCAGATAACCTGTGTTTTGCATCATCACAAATGCTTGCATCTTCCCTTCACCACATGCAGGATAACATCAATATGAATGAATTACTTTTCTGCCCATCTCGGAAGGTATACTACTACTTGACTCAGGGCAATTACAGAAAGTCTGCCCAAATGATTGATCCAAGGCACACCAGGACTTCCACATTTGTGGGGTGCGTTTACTCATTCACACAGTACCTGCAGTCATAAATCACAAGAGATTAGATGACTAAAGATTCAGTTGTGCCCTTTTTAGGAAGCCTAAGCTGGAAGCAGAGGTTAACTCTTGATGGCATGGAAGCATTTGTGTTAGGTGCCTTTTCCTGGGCATTTATCATCAAGTTCCCAAAGGACCCTATAAACCCACAGTAGAACTCACAGAATACAGACACTCGTTAGCCTAATTGCTGTAAGCTCTTATGAAAAGGTTTATTTAATTTATATTACATTAAACTTCTCTCTGCAACAGTTCATAGACATCAAAGAGACACAGTAAGGAAAAGTACTACCCAGAAGAATGGAAAGCAAGCCTCAAAATCTGCTTTCATATAACATTTCATAAAAGGCCCACATTTAAAAGTCTATGAATGGTAGACAACAAATTATTCTAATGGTACAAAGGATCTGTCTGGAAAAAAAAAATGACAAATTATAGCCAACAGCAGGCTCTGAAGTACCCAGGACCACTGAATAATCAAGTTATAGGACCAGTATTCATAACATTGAGACACTGACACAGAAAAGTCCGACATCGATGGCAGGGTTACTAGGGTAGCATCAAACTTTTGCCATTCACATAGAGGAAACCCACTATCAAACAACTGCAGCTGGCCCTACAAGGTGAATAGGATCCTTGGCATTAAAAAATTCCTGACTTTGAGGCCAGGGATTTAGCTCAGTGGTTCCACCGCCTGGCTCCCAAGCGGAAGGACCCGAGTTCAATCCCCGGTACCAAAAAAAAAAATTCATGACTTCAAAGCAACAAAAATGGTGACAAAATCATGTATCACAGAGACAATGCACATCGTGGAGCTGCCACTGGAGCCAACATTGGAGAGCCATAAAGAATAAATGCATGTGTTTTCATGCTGTGGTGTACCAGACTCAAGGAAGCATTAATACATAAGGGATGTGAGAAATTTCACCTGGGTAAGTTTCCTAGGAAAATACTTGGCTTCAGTGGGTTTGGGAAAAGCAGTAACAGATAAGTAGCAGGTAATGGCAGTACCCCTAGCTTCCAAGCCCAACCTGGAAGGACAGGAGTATAACTCATCTGACGTTTTTCTGCCCATCACTGCTGCTGCTCTGTAAAGATTCAGGCAACCCCATGTAAGCTGAGAAGGTAGGGTCTAAAGGTACAGCAGAAAGCGACCGTACTAACCCAGTGCTCCACCATATGGGCCCAGCCACAGAATCCTGCACCAGGAGCCATGCTGGCCAGGCAAGAATTGAATTCAGGTCCAGTCTTGGTCACAAGTAGTTTTATGACCTGGAGCCAGGTCAGTTTGCCCTGCTGGGCTTTCATTTACAGATGTATAAAAGATGGAATGGAACTTCTATGCTGGGTTCACATGCTTTTACTGTGTCTATAGGAGTGTTTTGGGGAGTTATAGGAGTTTGGGGTATCACAGATAGGCCCCATTGCAATTTAAAAAACTGGGGGGGGGGGCTGAATACAGGCCAGTAGTAGAAGACAAAAGCAATTGGTATAATTACAGCTCTATTTTCGTAGTGCCCGGGATGGAGCCCAGGGTCCTGCACATGCTAGGGAAGAGCTCTACTACCGAGGTGCACACCCAGCTCTTGGAATTTTTAGCTGCCTGAATTGTGTGACTGTGTTCAGCACTGGCCTTGGACTGCCTGTGTTTAGCTCTATCACTTGTTCCTTGTGACCATGAGCAAGTCCGCTTAGACTGTCACTTCCAGAGTCAGAAAGCTGGAGTAAATAATTATGAGGATTAAATGTAAAAGTGTATGGCAGTGAGAATTCTGACACACAGGGTTTGTGAATACTGTATTTTTAATACTCAATGTTACTTTTTTTCTTTATACAGCCTCATTGTGTTTTTTAAAAAGTTTTAGCAGTTTAAAGAAATGTACCAATGGTGGCGCACACCTGTAATCCCAGCCTTCTGGAAGGCTGAGGCAAGAGGATTGCAAGTTCCAGGCTAGGCAACTTGTGATTTAGTAAGATCCTGTCTCAATGTAAAAAGTGCTTGGGATGTAGCAAAGTCTAAAATTGCTTTGACTTAGCATGTGTATATGTATGTATAAATATTACATATATGTAATATATAATGTGACTCTGCCGGGAATTAGTAGCTGATTTTTTTCTAAAATAACTGGCCTTCCTGCTGAGTTAGCAGGTGAAGTAATCCAGATAAAGACTGTCCACCTGCAAAGCCCTGTGATCTTGCACTGTTTTGTTTTTAATATTGTTAAGGCTCCCCAGATTTGTTATTTGGCTCAGAGCTCTGTCTTATGTCCCCACCTCAGTGTTTTAAGAAGAATCTCCTCAGGTTTATTTTTGGGTTTAATCCTTTGTAGTTAGCCTTGCTGTGTCACAAGCCTGGGGATAGGCAGAGGCAGTGAGAACACAGGAAGGTTCAGTTAGAGCAAAACACACTGAAAATCTACCGGGTGCCCATCTCGGGACTGCCCCCACCGTCCTCTTTAGGGACACCCAGTTGCTCCCAGGAATCTGAGGGAACACTCTGTGTTGAAGATGCTCCATGGGAATCATTTTATTAAAACCTGTATTCGCCACTCATGTTTTTGGAGTTTAGGCCAAATCACATTTATCTCCTACAAGTAAGTTTCTCTTATTAGGACAGAACAAAGGAATCCTGCCATGCCAGTCTAAGGCAATGCTGAAGATCGCTATCCCATAATATAGAAAATGTAGTTTGATTTTCATGCAAAAATCCAAGTCCTGTTCACAGTTTACCACCAGGTCCTATTTGCCCTATTTAATTCCTTTTAAAAACTGTACTTGGAAACAGCGAGATCTGTGCTTAGCTATGGGAGAACCCCTGCCCTCAAGGAATATGCACTCTCTGGGAGAAGGGGAAACACCCAAACAGAAGCATTTAAAAGCAGACACTATGAACTAAACAGAAATGAATAGCCTTTAAAATGGACATGAAGAATTTTTTCCCAACACATAAATACAGCACCCTGACATAAAAGTGTCACCCTTACAGGACATTTGGAGCTGATGGGGACAGATATTCAAAACACTTCATCAGAAAGGGGAGAGGCCTAGGATACTCAAAATAATAAATACTTTCAGAGTGCACAACATGTTATCTTCAACCCCTGCTTGCCCCAGACCCCAGCCAATAACAGCCTGTACCCAGCAGGCCTCGGGTTGAATGAACCACCTAGCCCAAGCGGAAATGATGGGAAGCATTACATCTCCCTCTTGGGCTAAATCCAAATGCAGTGAAACCAACTGCCTAGAAGCAAGCAGGAGACTGCGTGAGTAACAACTACTGCAGTGCCCACTGGATGAGTTTCACATGGGTGGGACATGTGGCGCTTGCTCCTCTGGGTGTGTGCAGGACTTGCACCAAAGGTGCTTGGCCACCTGTGTCCAATCCGGTACCTTCCTTAGGTATCAAAAAGCAACTGAGGCAGGCCATGGTGGTGCACGTCCATAATCTCTGCAGGGGGATCACAAGTCCTGCCTGGGTAATTTAGCGAGACCCTGTCTCAAAATTTTAAAAAGGCAGTAGGGGATGCCTGAAGATGTAGTTCAGTGTTAGAGCACTTGCCTAGCATGTGCAAGGCCCCAGGTTTAGTGCCCAGTATGGTGTTAAAAAAAAATTTTTTTTTTAATTCACTCCATTAGAACTAAGCAATGGCTGGGACCTCAGTCTGATTTTTTTTATTTTTTCCTTACCTGGTAGTGTCTTGTAAAGACACAATTAATAGAACTTTGAGGCTGTCATCTTTGCATCCTACTTCCTACTCTCCAGCCTCCTATCCCCCCTGTTAACAGTGAGAGATTATAACCTAGCTGGAAAGAAAGAAAACTGACCTTCCGGATAGCACTTGTTCCCTGCTTCCTATTAAATCAGCTTGTGTTTTCTGCACCAAGTCTCTTACGGCTATAACACCGAGTCACTAAGAATGGTTTCAAACTGCCTCAAAATCAGTGTCCTCAGGCTCCATGTTCAAGGGTTTATGAAGCAGCTAAGCCCAACTTCTAGTAAAATTGCACCAGTGTCAAAACCAAAAATTATTCAAGTTCTCTCTAGCAGACACTATTCCCTAATAGTTACCTTTAATCTTTCCAGTGACTTAGTAAATACAGGATGTGCTAGCCAAAATAAACTTACTTTCAAAAAGAAAATATTTCATACCATATTGCAAGGTAATTTTTAAAAGCATTACCACAAAAATCAACTTTTAAATCACCCACTTCCAAAGTACAACTGTTAAACATGTTATGCATTTGCAGTGTTCCCAAAAAATTTGTCTGAAAATTTCAGCTTTTAAAAAGTAAGTAAAAAATACCATTTCAGAGGTGCTTTGTTTCCTATCTACATTCTACTCAGATTACGAGGTTTTTATTGTTTCTGTTTCACTCAGCCCACCATATAAATCTTCTGGTAAGAAAATACTTTAAGAGCTCCCTGGGGTTAAAAAAATTCTTTTTTGCTATAAATAATTACCTCTGACTCTTTCTCTTTTGGGGGAAGAGTTCACAGACATGTCTTCTTGTTGAAGTGGAGGCGTGCTCAAGTCTAACGGTGGCCCTGCAGCTGATGCACTGGAGCATGCCGGTAGCGCCGCCGTAGAACCACACAACATGCACATCCACAGCCCAAATGTCCCTGTCTGCCTAGGTGGCTGATGTGGCAGCTGCGGCTGCTACCTCTGCTGTGCAAACTGGAAAGTGCACTCACAAGACCCCAGGGAGGCACTGTGACTGTGATCCACACCAGAGAGAACCTGTCCCCGCAAACCCAGGGCCTTTCTGTAACACACACGCTAGAGATCCTGGGGTAACAGAGTTTCAAAAAGGCCAAACTCCAGGAGCACAGAGATTTAAATTTCCCACAACCCTTCATGGAAGTGATCACACACATCACACAGACACATGTCCCCCCAAACTAGCAAGCTCTATGAATGCAAATCAAGAGGGATGAATGGGCATAAAGACAGCAACAAGGTCTGAGAAGGTGGCTCACATCCCAGCTTGACCACAGTCCTTCTAATCTTTGACAAAATACTGTAACGTGACATCAGTCCTCATAGGCCTGTGAGGCAGGTATAGGACACTAGTTAATGGACTGTCATTGTGGGTTTCAACCCCACAATCACATGGCCCAAAGGTCAGTTCTAAGGGAAGTGAAGGTCACCCAGTAAGGGTCAGCCCACTTAGGTAGACTGTCATATTCTCTCTCCCCTCTCTAATTTGCAACACTTCCAAGTCAGATTGCCACCATTCATTCTGAAACCTTTAAGGTGTTTTCTAAAGGGGTGGGAAGGGGAAGGAGAGTGAGACAGGAGCCACACTAATATCCCATAAAGCCATGCGGGATGGAACTCTGCATTCAAATGTACTCCCTGGCACAAGGGAAATTGTGACACTCACCCTGACTTGCGGGAAGGGGAGGTGGGGGAGATGATGCAAAGCTGAGCTGCCATAAGCCAAGGAGGGGTGCCCAGTGGAAAGAGGATGAAACCAGGCTCAGACCTGCTGGAGTTCACGCTTCCACTCTGACCTCCTCTGTGGGCCCGTTTACCTCAGGGCGGGGCGTCACTGAGATTGCGGGTTCTGGGGGCCCTCCTTGCTCTTACTGTCCTCTGCCGAGCTGCACTTGGAGCCCGGGACCGAGGACTTGTACCCGTGAAGTGTGTGAGCATTCAGCATCTCCATCAGCAGATCGTACACTGGGACCACATTTTTGCACTTCATGCTGAGCAGATGTTCCATGCCCTTGTTACTATGGGGACAAAAAGGTGCTGAGATTCTCTCCCTGAGGTAGCCACCGGAATGCTGAAATCTTCCCCAGTTCTCCAGAACAGAGCCAGTCCGCCCACACCCACACCCCCTCCACTCCCCAGCCCACTGTGCCACAGCACATGCATCAGTCCTCAGTCATTTATATTCCAGGGCAAAGCCCAGGTCCTCTTGACTTCTGTGTACTATCCCCATCCACAATGGCCTGGTACATAGTACAGTCAATTCTTATTTTTTGTACAAGTTACTTCCAATAAAGCCACAGCAAACGCTGCATTAGCAAATACTGAATCATTGCCTTTGGGGAAATATATAGTAGTTTGGTTCCTGTAAGACTGTTCACAACATTTTGATCAGTCAATCTATGCCCAACCCTGTGTGTGTTTCTGTACAAAATCATTTTACTTAATACAGACTGTAGATTCATTAACAATGAACTCATGGCCAACAGCGCTGTAACTTATGCCTGAAAGAAACTTATCCAAGACAGATGTCTCCTCTGAAAGGCCCATCTCAGCTTTCTTACACTTAGGAACATGAGAGAGCATTTCAGGACTACACTAGAGGGCTTTCTAAACAGTGAAATTATCTACAAAAAACAAAAATGTGAAGCAGGGTACTAGTGTAAAGGACACAGAGAACTGAAAACAGGATGGCAAAGCTTCTCCTTGTTCAGCCTCGACTGGGAATGTGCATAATGAGCAACTCCAGATTTCTGTCCCTCTGGGCATGACCTCCAAACGCCATGGGTACTGGTTTTGGAGTTATAAATAAATTTGATCAAGTAGGTAAGCTCACAAGTATGGACTCCAAAGGTTCTAAGGACCAATTATGTGTGTGCTCCGGAGGACTGCAGGCTGTACGGTCATCAAAGAGGAAACAGGGACAGAGGTCTTTATTATTTCCTCCCGTGTTAAAATTCTCAACATGCACATTACCCCCACACACACAGCCTCTGGACCTGGCTCCTGGGGGAGCTTTACCTGCCCTCCACATACATCTCCCCTCCTGGGTGACACCACTGTGCCAGCAGCAGCCCCCAGTTTATGTTTCCTGACCTGGAATGTGCTCCATCCACAGTCTTGCCTTCCTAAACCTATTGGGAATTCTTAGGTCTTTCCCTTACTAGTCTGATGTCATCAGGGGAAACAACAAATTTGAGTTTTCTTTTCTTTTTGTTTTGCGGAACTGGGGACCAAACTCAGGACCTTGTGCTTGCCAGGCAGGCACTGGCACCACTGAGCTAAACCTCCAGCCTGAAACAACAAATTTGAGGAAAGGCTTTCTGTACTTTCCCAAATCACCAGCCCTTAGGTGACCAACCTAGGAGAGCCATACTCGGCCATTCATCAAAACGAAGCACAACTTCAGCCCGGGGTGGTGTATAGAGGGATGGTAGTTCATTTTAGGGAAGAAACTGCCCCTTTGGGGACTCTATAAACAAGCTCTAAGTCCTAGCAACCAAAAATTGGATGAGCCACCCTAGGATACCGTGAAAATCCTATAAAATGCCACATGACATGTTCAGTGTCCACTCTGTGCCAATCTTTGGTTACAGGTGTGTAAACTGACAATGCCTCTCATCCTTTTCCAAGGGTTCATTTTTCCATAGAGGTGACCACTCTAACATCCACCTCAAATTTGCAGACACTTTGCCAAAGCTCTGAGCACAGACACCACCCCGGCCCCCAGTGGAACAGCTGCCACAGGTCTGTACCTGATGTGCCTGACATGAGACAGAAGCATCAAGAGATTGGCCAGGCGAATGGACTGCTGCTGGGAGGAGATGCCGCTTTTGGCGATGACCCAAACCAGTGCATCTGTCATCGCGTTCAGCAGGTGAGCCAGCTTCTGGCTGCTCTCTATCTCCTGGGTCGTTGCAGCCAAAGGGTACATACCTGGACAAAGAACGAGAGCCCTGAGTCTTTGCTATGAGAAAAGAAACCTGAGCCAGTGTGCCTGGCAGTTAAGCATGCCCACCTTCTCCAGGAAGGAGGCCACACTCATCTCAGCTGTTCTGACTTGGGCACCCGTGGTGAGACCCTAAGAGCAAGGCTTTACCTCCGAGGGGCTCCTCCCTAAGACTCAGCCCCATCACTGAGCTGCGAGGAAAGCCTGGCTGGATGCAGGGCAGATAAATGACCTCTCACATGGCCAGAACTATGGCTGCGCCAAAGGAATAGGTGTCTCCAGTTCCCTCAAATCAGTACGTGGAGTTTCTCATCAGCAATGGGTACAGAGGGTCAGAAAGTGGGAGGAACTCTACCCTTAGCCCATGGGGATCCTCTGCTGTGGGGAGTGGAGCTGATGGTCGATGCTCTGACAGTTCCCCATCCACCCCTCATGAACACCACCCTGCCCTGCGCTGTGTTTAATTCTCCCCTGACTCTAGGATCTGAGATTCTGCAGTCTCCCAATGATTGTGTAATAACAAAATAACAGCTCAGGTAAATTTCCTCCTCCCACCCCTTGTGAACCCTACTCCCCGAGTCATTTACACAACTGGCTTTTCTTCCAGGCTTTTAATTCCAAAGTAAGAATAAATAAATCTGTGAAATCAACGAGGGAGCTGCATGTTTGGCTGTCAGGAGAATGAAGGGTGGCTGGTGCGCCATCAGCCACAGAATTTCTTTTGGCAGTTTTTGCTCTGTTTTATCGGCATTTTCCGTTTGATTAAGGCAACTCAATTCAACTAACTTCAACTCAGTTAAAGCAAGGGGCACACAGAAGCAACAGCTACTAGTGCTTCCCCACATCTGAGGGGCCCTCCATAAGGTCCCGTAATGCAGACTCGACATACAACAGCTCTGAACTGCCTTCTACCCCATCTGCTCACTGCAGTCCCCAGGGTGACTCTCCTGAGTCCCCCCACATCCTTGGGCCTCACACATCTCCCAGTAGCGACTGTCCCTCAGGGTACAGTGGGAACAAGGGCTAACAGCCAGTGCGTTCCCTGAGCAGCCACAGTGCAGATCTGCTCACTGGCTTCCTTCCACGTCCCAGTCACCTGGAGCAGCCATGGAGGGACTCAGGGCTCTCCCTACTGTCTTCATCACACTTCACCTGGCAGCCCACTTTCAACACCCTCAACAGGTGAGGGCTGAAGCAGCTCGATTTCCTTCTTCAGAGCTCTCCCCTCCTCTCTCCATCCTTCCTCCTCCTCTTTATTTCTATCATTTTTCCTTTTTTTTTCCTCTCTTTATTAAATTCTTTTATTGGTCCATTGTAGGTATACAACACAATTACATTTCTCATTGGGAATTGTACCTTTACATAATGCATCTTGGTTCTTATTTTTTCCCCATT